TCTTTGCAGATGTAAACAAGTTAAGATGAGGTATGCTGGCTTGGGGTTGCCCTTAAGCCAATGAATAATGTCTTTATAATAATGTCTTTATAAGAAAAGAATAATTTGGATACAGAACAACATATAGGGATGTGATGTAAAGACACACAAGTTTATCATGTGATGACAGGCAGAGATTAGAGTAATACATCTACAAACCCAGAAACACTGAAGACTGACAGCAACCAACAGATATTAGGAGAGAGACATGGAACATATTCTCCCTCAGAGCTTCCAAAAAAAGACCTTGTTCACATCCTGATTGCAGATTTCTAACCTTCCCAACTGTGAGAAAATAAGTGCTGTCGTAGGCCATTCTGTTTGTGGTAATGTGTTATGACAGTCCTAAGAAACTAATGCAAATGTCAAATGCTAATGCTGCAGAGAGATCAAGAAAGTTAAGGATGGAAAGTGAAAACTTGTTTAATGTGCAGGTAACTGATAGGACTAAACACCGACACAATAGTATTAAGTATTTTCATACCTAAAGATACTGTGAGTGGGGAAGTGGAAACATTAAATTTAGATATTTTGTTTAAAAATTTCATCTAGAAACAAAAGAAGAGAGAGAACAGTGGTAACCAAAATGGAATGTAGTCAGAAAAGGGCTATTTAATATAAATTCTTAGACCTGCCTCAATCTTAGAGAAAAGTAAGTGTTCGAGAGAAAGAGGATAGGAATTGTTGAAAGAACACATAGCACAGATGAAAGAAGATAAACCACTTTCACAGAGACAAGAAGAAATTCCTAAAAGATGGATGGAACACACAGAAATGTGAAATTCTTTTGTCAGATACTTTGGAAACAACATAATTTGTTAAACAAAAAGAGAAAGATGGAGAAGAAAGAGAATTGAAGAGTGGCTGGGAACTGATCATAGACCTACATGGAAAGGGTGACTGGTAGACAGCAAATATTGCTGAGTAGCTGTCTACACAATTAACTGAAGATGGTCTATTATTTATTAATTGGTGGGTTGCCAGCAATACTGAGCAGTTTGATTTTAGCAGCCCAAAACTCAGAGGGTGGAAATGACCAAGTGTAACTGCAAAGCAGGTACAATGAAATAATAATGGGAAACCAATAAAATGGGAGTCAAAGAGTGACTTATCAGGAAATGATGCTGATGAAAAAGAATATCTCAATGTAATGAGGAATAATGAACATATTGAAGCTAAAAGTTCTGGAGAACTGTCAAACAGATTATTGTCAGAGACAGAAATCTGTAAATTTGACAGCCTTTCCTTTCTGAAAATAACTCCTTCATTAGCAAGCAACAGTACCTGAAATTCTATCCTGAAATGTTTATTTTGGGGAGGACTGTTAAAAATAAAAATATAAGCATGAAATATGCCATATTTTTTCCTTGAGTTGTAAGAGAGGAAAAAAATAATACATGGCCAGATCCATTCTATTAATATAAATTGTTAGCAAATTAATGGGGCACATCACCAGTATGTATTATAAGTAAAAATATGGAGAGTAAATAAAATTTGGAAAAATGTAATCTATTATGCACAGTAAAATAGGCAAACATTTCTTGGTTATTAGGAACAAACTATAAGCACTCACATAAATGATCATAATTTGTATTACATTTATCCCATCAAACCAAGATTTACATACTAAATCTAAAACCTATTAATGTCTCCTAGGGAACCAGGCTTGGCTTACTTGCCAGGATCCTCAGATATTTGCATAGGTGCATACTCAAACATACTTCCAGGTTCTAGCCGTGGGAGTACTGAATACCTCTCTAAGTCACCTTCTAGTGTGTTAGAAGGTGTATCTTGGCCTCTTTGCCTCTTTCCTTGGTAGTTCAAGGCTAAGACTTTCGAAGTTCTTAAGGTAAGAGAAAGAGGATGAGGAAGAATTAGGAAATCAGCAGAGTGGGCTCAGATAAGAGCAGGATTCAGATTCTGGAGCTATGATGGCCAGATTATTCAACAAATTCTCTTAGTTGGAACACCTCCTCCTTAATTTTTCAAGGCATAAGCTTACGCTAAGTCTATCTTTATTTTAGCACTTCACTTTATCCTCACAAAGAAAAGTTTTAAGCAAAGTTAAAAGAATCCGATGGGTACAACATCCACCTACTTAGTGACATAGTTCCATTTTTCTCTGTGCCTTCCTATTCTATTACTCGTAATTCTCACTGCAATGTCAAAAATACTACTAGACTGCAGGTTCTGGGAAGACAGGGTTCGTATCTAGTTGTTTACTGCTATATCCCTAGTATTTGGTATAGCTTCTGGAAAGAAGTACACTCAATACACATTGAAGGAATGATTGAAGCAATGCATGAACAATAACTACTCTACTGGGACACAAAGTCTTTCTGTGTAAGGCAGATCTGAAAGGAAAGCTATGACCTGGATCCCTCTCTTCTTCTGAAAGAAAACAACTTTTTAAATGCCTTTTATTGTATGTTCTTCTAATTCCACTGCCAATTGTTATATCACTTCTACTAGTGTGTAAGTACAATGAGGACAAAATTACAGACTTATGATCTGTATGGATAAGCAACTGGAGAAGGAAATGGTAACCCAATCCAGTATTCTTGCCTGGGAAAGCCCATGGACAGAGAAGCCTGGCAGGCTACGGTCCATGGGGTCGCAAAGATTTGGACATGACTGAAGCAACTAACACTTATAGATAAGTAAAACAGTAGTGCAAACTGAATAGATTTTTACACAAATAAGTAACTTTTTATGCATATTTTGATCAAATATTTAAAGTTATAATTACCAAACCACAACGTGGCCCATTTCATAATCTTGATAAATGGTGTATGTCATACAAAAGAACTTAAAAAAAAATTCTTCTTAATTCTTCTTAAAAAAAAAAAAAGAAATTCTTAATTTCATTAGAGAAGGAAGACTTTCATTTTAACTTAAGTAATTCCAAGATGGCAAATTGACAGAAAGAAGTAATTTGCCTTACAAAACAAAACAATTTAATTTAGAATTAATTAGCAGGAAGTGTGGTATCTGTTAACTTATGATTTATCACATGTTTTTCAGGTCTTTCTGGGAAGAAATAGAAAATAATAACCTTTGATAATTATCTTTTTCAGCATGCATTTATTTTGAAGCAGGGTTATGTCCATAGAATTATTATCAGGGTGCCTCACATTTATTTCTATGCACTAATTTTTGTCATAAAAACTGTAAGAAAGAAAATATTATGCATTACCCCAAGTCCACATATGCAATAATTAGGGTTTTTAAGGAATAGGTACTTACACTAAAGAATAGTGTTCACAAATCACAAGCTACTTTCTCTTGAAGCAAATCAAACTTGCTCTCCAATACATCTTACCTGAAAATGTTTGGATATAATGCATATTGTAACAAGAGAGACGGGCACTACCATTTATTTAGGTCTCTCTCCTGCTTGGTGTTGTTGAAAGGCTGTTATCATCCCCATGTTCACGCTGAAATTTAGATTAAAAAAAAATCTTCACTTTCAAGTGAGGAAATCAAGGCACAAAGAGCTCAAGTCGGGGGGGGGGGGGGGGGGAAGAGCTCAAGTTGGAGGGGAAGGAAGATTTCAAGTGTTTTGGGGAGACTGCTAAAATACGTGTAGCCCTAAATCCCTTCCACCACAAGAGGCTAATAAAAGAGAGTCTTGGCTCCGGAACATCCTGATAAATGGCTGGTGAGATCCACCTAAGCACAGACTCCAGCTCACCTCTCTCAGCCAAAGCTCAGGAGTCAGGCCTGCCCATGAAATTAAGGTTACTGTCTTATTTTCATTAGTGTGTCCACATGATCAGGCCCTGAAAGCCAAGGCTCCAAATGTTCAAAACTCTATAGCCCTTTGTACTTATGTAGACTGTTCATAGGATACATTCATCTCAGAGAAATGATGAAAGTTAAGTCTTGTCCTTGTGTTTCAAGAAAACCTACATCTCGATATTTCTGATTTACCCTCGGCATGTTACAGCACTCCAACCTGAGAAGAATCCTCTGGGAAAGACCGAAGTCTCCTTCTGCCTGGGGGTTAGGAGAGAGGAGGGGACAAATTTCTGGTGATAGAAATTACAGGGAGAGAGGGAATGGGTGGATTTGGGAAGGGGGAAAAGCAGCAGGATCTGAGAAGGGAGAACAGAAACACACAAGCAGAAATTCGAGTGAAATTCCAAAAGCCAGTGGAACAAAGCGACCGGTTCTTGGGGCTCACATTCCTCAGCTAACTGCACCCACAGGCGATCTTGCCAGAAAATCTCCTGGGACCTTGCCTATGCTTTAGGGGTGAATGGTTTAATTGGTTTAAAAAATAAGAGTCCACAATACAACTGAAAGCAGGGGCCTCAGCAAAATATCTTGAAGTTAAAAGACGAAAAACAATCTTGTCGAGATTTTAATTACAGATGAGAAAGTGCAGCCCTTCCTTGAGCCTGTCAACCCGCCAAGCTCCAGCGAGTAGCGAATGAATGAAACCCAGAGGGCGGGGGTGGAGGAAAGGAGCGCAGTCGTCTTCCAAGAAGGGGTTGTCAGCTCCGCGGCCCCCACAACGTCACCGAGGCAGAGCCCTGTAAGAGACTATAAAGCTCGCAGCGGCTCCTGAGCCTCGGCGCTTCAGCTGGTGCCCGGGAAACTCCCGCAAGAGTGATTCCCAGAGGGTCTCCGCTGGCGCCAGTCCCTAACATCACTTTTTTCAGACTGTCTCATCCTTCCTGCCCGATAGATGCTCAAAGTCGCTTTTGGAGAAAGCGCCTCCTTTCTCCCCATCACCTGCAGGGTCAAAGCATCCCTTAACCAGCAAGGGCTGTGGTACCTTCTCCATCTCGATTCGGGGCGGGGCTGAGGTCCGCTCAGCATCGAAGCGACAGGGAGGCAGAGAAGAACTTCGCGGGAGACGGGCCGGGCTGACGGTGGGTGAGCGAGGGGACTCAGGTTGCACACCCATCGCTACGGCCTCGCTCCCCGTAGCCGCGAACTGGACGGACGCGGGAATGGCCGGCGCGGACACCGGGAACCTGAGTGCCGCGCTCGAGACTGGGGCAGCCGCGGGAGAGGCTGAGACTGAGTGGCTGCAACTGCTCGTCCAAGCCGGCAATCTTTCCGCTTCCTTCTCCCCGCTGGGTCTGGCGGCGGCCTCCCCCGCGCCTTCGCAGTCCCGGTCTAACATCACCAACCAGTTCGTGCAGCCGTCCTGGCGCATCGCGCTCTGGTCCCTCGCCTACGGCGTGGTGGTGGCCGTGGCCGTCTTCGGGAATCTCATCGTCATCTGGATCATCCTGGCCCACAAGCGCATGAGGACCGTCACCAACTACTTCCTCGTGAACTTGGCTTTCTCCGACGCCTCCATGGCCGCCTTCAACACCCTGGTCAACTTCATCTATGCGCTGCACAGCGAGTGGTACTTCGGCGCCAACTACTGTCGCTTCCAGAACTTCTTTCCTATCACCGCGGTGTTTGCCAGCATCTACTCTATGACAGCCATTTCGGTGGACAGGTGAGGGGAATACCGGGAGGAAGGAGGAGGAGGAGGCAAAGAGAGAGGCTGGGCAGTGGGGTAAGGTTAAAAGGAAATGGTGACAAAATGGATCTTATGAAACGAAAGGGACTAGGTTAAAGTTCTTAAAGGAGGTCACTAACCTTGGTGGCTCAGAAAATAAATAATCTGCCTGCAATGCAGGAGATGCGGGTTCGATTCCTGGGTTGGGAAGATCCCCAGGAGAAGGAAATGGCAACCCATTTCAATATTCTTGCCTGGAAAATTCCATGGACAGAGGAGCCTGGAGGGCTACAGTCCATGGGGTCACAGAGTCCCACACGATTGAGTGACTAACACTGATGATGATGATGAACCCATTTACAAATGGGTCCATCAGTGGCTGAACTTGTTTTTTTTCTATGGCCTCCCCACTCCCATCCTAAACCCCTAATCCTCTTTGAGGTCATCTAGAGGGAATGAAAGAGATGGGAAAACCTGTCATTCCAAGTAGGACAAATTTAATTAAAAACACTTAACACTAGTACATTTTCTCAAATGGCTTCAAACAATTGCCACAAAAACTATGTTACCTTTAAACTGTACTTTTGGGGCTTCATCGTCTCTGTCAGTCACTATTCTGTCAGAAAAATGAATGCTACCCACCTCCTCTCTCTGGTTTGCTGGTTCTCATGCCATCCATCCTGTACCCGATCCTTGCCCCAAGGCCAACACTGCTTTGGTCTCCCAGTTATGGAGGATCCATCCGAGGCAACAAGCTCCCTCAAAATGATTGCTATCAGCCAGCAGTTTCTCCAGTTCTTCAGGTTATCTTTCACTTCCAGTAATCTGTGGAGACCATGAGCTAGGTAAACTCTGTGCCTGGAATATGGTACCTGATTCATTCAGATGATAGGCAAGAAAAAGCCCAAAGACTAAGTGGTTAGGAAATGAGGCATGCCACTTGATAACTGTTTAAAGATAATCTTTTAGAATGTTCCCCCATCTACTTTGGGAATCCCGGGATTCTTAAGCAATTATAAGAAGCTGGAGAGACATCCAATATTTGTTCTTATAATCCAGTTTATGAAATTTCAGTGTGTGTTTGCTTCCCCATATGGAATATTATGGACAATGCAGACTGTGTTAAGACAATGGTAAATATCTACCTGTTACTAATGAAAGAGAAAGTGAAAGTCACTTAATCGGGTCCAACTCTTAGAGACCCCATGGACTACACAGTCTGTGGAATTCTCCAGGCCAGAACATTGGAGTGGGTAGCCTTTCCCTTCTCTAGGGGTCTTCCCAACCCAAGGATTGAACCCAGGTCTCCCACATTGCAAGCAGATTCTTTACCAGCTGAGCCACAAGGGAAGCCCAAGAATACTGGAGTTGGTAGCCTATCCCTTCTCCAGCAGATATTCCCCACTTAGGAATTGAACCAGGGTCTCCTGCATTGCAGGCAGATTCTTTACCAACTGAGCTATCAGGGAAGCCCCGTTACTGATGGTTACACTTTAATTCAATATTATGCTAAAAATGAACCACAACAGTCAGTTTTAGTCTCCATTTTGTGACTGGCAGTTTGCATGGGGTTGATGGGGATGGGGGAGGTGAAGTGACTTTAATTTCAAGTATCAATGTTCTTATCCATGAAAAGGAAAGAATACTTTTTTCTATATTAACAAATGTGTTTGAAAATAAAATGGAGCTTAATATTCTTACTACATTAAGTCACCATTATGAGAAAAAATAAGAAAAAAAATTACTTTTTCCCATCAGTCCATCATCTGTGTTTATTGTTTTGAAAGGTATTGAAGGCATAAAGCTTTAGAAACAATTTTCAAATGCCAGGCCCATGGGGTTAAATTGAAGGAGCAGTGGTTAGTTACCACTGACTAGGATATGTAAGCACAAAACCACATTTTTTAAAGCCTCTGAAACTGCCAGTCTTCTTTTCCCCTCTATCTCTAGTTTTCAAGTATCTCACTCCTTCATTTTTGTAGGCACAATAGTGAGTACAAAGAAGAAACAAAGTCAGTTCCAAGTTGGAAAACAAGTGGAACCACCTCTAATCTTGCTCCATTGAGATAGAAAGGAATGTTTCTTTGGTTTGAGCATCTGCCTTTTTGTTGTGTATGGTTTGATTTATTCTTTGCTCTAATCTGGAGGAGAGGCATTAGCATATCAGGTTATAAGATTCTCACAATGTTCTTAAAATGTTAATGATACATTATGAAATTTGATGAAAATTTAGTGTGTGAAGTCTGTGAGGGGAAAAAAATTTAGTGTTTCAAGTATGTGAGGGGAAAAAAGGGTCATTTTCCCAGTTACTTTCTGACAATATTTATGCAAAATCTGAAATAACACTGGAGTTATTCTAATTGATAATGTAATGCTAGTTCATCACATTCACTAGTTTGAAATCAATGAATGCTTTACTACTTATACTTTACTCTTTCCTTACTAGAAAACATTATTCAATTACCAAAAGTACTCAAAATTTAGGATCATACAATTTGCAACAAAATCTGAGGCATATTCAGTTCAGATATTGAAAATCTTTTCAGAATCGTTCATTTAAAAATTGCTTTCACTTGAGCATATAGTTGGATAAAAAAATTACAGAGATAATTTTTACAAACCTGAGGGTATACACATATAACAGTTATTAGAATTCTAAATAGTTTACCAGTCAACAGAATCTATCTGCATTGGTGTCTTACCAAACACGAACTGAATATACTAGTCCTGTGGCATTTGCAGTCATTTTATTGATTGAAGTTGGCAAGCTCGACTCCTCCTAGAAAGTTCAGGAGAGTCATGTGTCTTTGGTTATGGCTGTATGGACTCCCTGTCCCATATAGAAAAGTGAATAGTATATGCTTGAAGAAATTTTAGTTCCCAATATAATTAATGCTTTATTGAAATAACCATAAAATTACAAAAGCCCTAATTAGGTCTTAATTGATAAAGGATTACATCATTTAGATTGTGATAGTAACACTTGGCTTATTGCATTGTGAGTGTTTTCTATTCCCATTTTTATCTTAGGTTATATTCCATTATAGGTTATTACAAGATATTGAGTATAATTTCCCATGTGCTGTGCTGTGCTAAGTCGCTTCAGTCATGTTTGACTCTTTGTGACCCTATGGACTGTAGCCCACCAGGCTCCTCTGTCCATGGGATTCTCCATGGACAAGAGAACTGGAGTGGGTTGCCATGCTCTCCTCCAGGGGATCTTTCCAACCCGGGGATCGAACCCATGTCTCTTACATCTCATGCATGGGCAGGTGGGTTCTTTACCACTAGTGCTACCTGGGAAGCCCCTCTATTCCCATTTAATATAAACTGAATTGTGCCCTCCCAGCCTAAATAAAAAATGTATTGAACTCACTGTGTCCCTCTCCGTGTGTGTGTGCTCAGTCGTGTCTGACTCTTTGTGACCCCATGGACTGAAGCCTGAATGCTCCTCTGTCCATGGGATTTTCCAGGCAAGAATACTGGAGTGGGCTTCCATTTCCTATTCCAGGGGATCTTCCCGATCCGGGGATCCAACCTGCATCTCTGTGTCTCCTGCATTGGCAGATGGATTCTTTTCCACTAGTGCCACCTGGGAAGCCCTTGTGTCTCTCGGCCTAAAATCAAAAAGATCTTCTGAGGTTTAAAACTACTTCAGCTTTGACCCAGGCACTTATGGCTTTGCTTCAGCTGTAGCAAAATGCTTAGAACCTCCTCTGACCTCAGAAATCTTAGACCTGAAAAGGACTGCAGATCCTCCCTAATGAACATTTGTATTATACACATGGAAAACCTCAAACCAACAGTCACATATTTTGAATAAAAACAATGTGTTTTCCTTTAAGTGTTTTGCACTCATTCTGCACTGGAAGAATTGCTTGACTTGTAACTTCACATTTTTAATGTAATTAATAATTCTACTAAAGATTTGAATGTGAGCTCACAGGTTCTGATCTTGTCCTGAAACATCCCATTCATTTGCTTTGTTAGAAATTCTTGCAAATCTTATATATGTTCTATAGACCAAAACATCATCTTTAAGTTCTACACAGTTCCTTCTTGTCTATAAGGCTACTTCACCATCTTTACACACACACACACACACACACACACACACGCACACACACACAGTGGAATTAGTGCCAATGAAGAGTCACTGTTTCTCTCCACTATCCTTCCCAAGTTTGCCATTTTGAAATGTAACATTTGAACACAACATTTATCTGAAAGATGTTCAGCTCTCACAGGATCATGCAGTAGCGCTTCAAACCACTGCAGTCCACTCCAGGACGCCTACTGTTCTTAACCTCTACACTTTCTTATAACTCCTAAATAGTTGTGATAACTGCAGGTTAATATTAAAATTTAGCACTTCTCTATGCTATATATCGGAGAAGGCAATGGCAACCCACTCCATTACTCTTGCCTAGAAAATCCCATGGATGGAGGAGCCTAGTAGGCTGCAGTCCATGGGGTTGCTGGGAGTTGGACATGACTGAGCGACTTCACTTTCGCTTTTCACTTTCATGCATGGGAGAAGGACATGGCAACCCACTCCAGTGTTCTTGCCTGGAGAATCCCAGGGACAGGAGCCTGGTGGGCTGCTGTCTATGGGGTCGCACAGAGTCGGACACGACTGATGTGACTTAGCAGCAGCAGCAGCATGCTATATATTTTACATGTATATATAAAACATCTCACATATATTTACCTATGTTTTAATTGAGAATGCAGATGTTAGAGAATTATTAATAGAGCAATTAATATAATAGAAATATTATCTCTTTAAGTATATGGTATATACCACTTGATATATAGGGACATTAGAAAATATTTTCTTCCATTTTCTAAGCACATTTTTAAGTTAAGTTAGACACTCTAGGAAAGCTTATTAATATATGTGGTTTAGTCGCTAAGTCATGTCCGACTCTTATGACCCCATGGACTGTAGCCTGCTAGGCTCCTCTGTCCATGGGATTCTCCAGGCAAGAATACTG